CTAAAGTGTACTATTTTATTATATCTTTGATAGTACGACAGTTTGTTGTTGATGTATAACGCGTTATAAGTACCTAATGGATAATGTGATATGATTAATTTGGAATTTATTATAGGTCAATTTTTGTTTTAATACCATGGATATGTATATAATTTGTCTTAAACCTAGACTGACATACCTACCGTCTTCGCTCAGAATCGTTTTTCTTATACAATGATATTGTATCATTGAATTCAAATTTAATAGAATCCATTATACAGTGACCCACTTGTAACCTACTGTACAGCAGAGTGACATCCACTTACCCACCTTTTTACTTTTTTAGTTGTTTTTTCTATAAATGTTTATAAAAATTTCACTCATTTGTATACTCGGTCAAAAATGTTAAACATTTAATACAACATTTCTCTTAATTTTTTTTTGTACAAATTCAAAAATATCAAAAATACACAAGCACAATTCAAAAACGTTTAAAGTTTAAATGTTCACAACATTTGTCAAAACCGTATATTGTTTGTATGCAGTGTTTGATTACTGAATTCAAATTTAACAAATCCTTTACCATGTACACTCGAAGCCTATATGCAAGTATACTTGTACAGCAGAGCTGCATCCCCTCTCTTTCGCGACCTATAATTACTTTATAATTACTAAAAATTCCTTTTTTTAAATGTGCTATATTTATATGTATCGATTTTCATTTCTGACAAATAGATTTAATCAAACTTTCCATATTAAACTATGATGGTTTTATCATAATATATTATGCTTTTTAAATGAATAAGTAATAAATTATCTAGTATACTTACATATGTTGTAATGACATGATTATTTATAGTTTGGGATACTAAGTAGTTTGTAACAATACGTTTAGAAATATCTAAATCTTTAGATTAATTTAAAATTTAATAATTTTGTTGATTTTATATCAATGCAGTTTAATTGTGTTATTTTTGTAAATGTTGTTTCTATGATAGGTACACATTGAATAAGTGAAACATTTAAATCGTGTTCAGTATTAAATTTTACTTAAGAGCATTCGGTATTTTTGTCCATTGTACGAATAAAACAAGTTGGTATAATGTAAAAAAAAACCTGAAAACTTAATATTTAAATTGTTGAATAAATTGTATTTCAAATGTTGACACTTAGCTTTGAATTTAATTTTAAAAAGTAAAATTGAAGAATTTTTAAACAGTAAAAAGGAATAAATAAGTACAGAATTTAATTATAATCTAAAAATTGAATGAACAATCTCAAGTAAACATCATGACAAATATACATAGGTATTATATATTAAGATTTTTTTAATTGAATTACTACCTAGTTTGTGTAATAAACAGTTCTCAAAAGTATCAAATCCATTTAAAAAAAAAAAAATACTGATCTTCATTTTATTTTTTTCAATCTCTCAATGTGTTGATAGGTATCATAGAAACAAAATGTACATGTAGCCATTTAGGTTGCAAAAATAAAACTGTTTAAAGTATTTATCAATTATTAATTTAAAAAGGATAATTAGTTTTAGATTCGACATCAAATTCCTTAATACTTGTATAGTCGTATTACTATTATTATATAAGTAACCGTAACTGTTATTCTATATTTTATTATTTTGATTTATTTATTATACCTAACTGGAAACGCACACAACGGTAAAAAAAAAAAATTATTATATCAATCGATTTTATAACATTTAAACTCATTTTAGGGTTTGTTTCCTTTCACGATTTCATGTGGTCTCTAAACCAAAAAAGTTCTAAATTACTAATAATTAATAATTAGTATTTCTAAGTAGGTTTAAATGTTCTATATAATCCAGGCTCAAAACCAACCGTATAAGCCCATTGTTTAAACAGTTACCTATCCAGGACTAAAAGGTACTAAATCGATACAATTTAGGTACTAATTATAGCCTGGTGTGGAGCAGCGGTCGGCCACAGTCAATAACGTGTTCTGAGGTCAAGCATAAGCCGATGCGCTAGATCCTGGCTGGTTCAGCACCCGGGTTTTTATACTTTTTAGTGAAAAATCTTCGCCACATATACCTACAAGTGTTCCAAACCGTACCCTCCCCACAGTAAAAACCGACTAAAAATAACGTTCCGACTAATGACCTCAAAAGCCTTAACTCAGAAAAAAAGTCTGGGAAATCTACTCACTAATAACGAAACATAATATACCTAGCAACTTTTATTTTGTCGTTTAAAAAATTGTATCATTACTTAGATTTTTCTACGTATTGTAAATTGTAATGTATCGTATGTATAGTCACTAGTCTTCTTCTTCTTATTATTATTTTATTGATTCTAAGTGGAGCGTTGAATGTATTGATTTTACGATGATGTGTTTTTTTTTTGTGTGTGTCGGGTGGAAAAAAAGATCTGATCAACAACTTTGATGGAGTTTTCTGGTAGAAAATTGAATCTAGTGACTAGTTGGTACTTTTAGAAGATCAAAATTGAAAATTCTCAGTACTTTTAAAAATAATAGGGAAAAAATATTAAAAAAAATAAGATCATGTTTATGTATAATTATTAATTTCGCTTACACCGTCAGGTGCTTAAATTTAAAAAAAAATTCACAATTACTTTTTATGAGCGTTTGAAGATAAATAAATAACTTTGATGGCGACATTAAAAACATATAATATCATGAAATATACTTAGTAATATGAGGCTGACGGACAGAAACAGTTAGGTATTTACAATAAATTACCATATTCTCATTCAATGACGAGGAATACTCGACATCTACAATACTGTATCTACATCATAGTGGTTATTCATAATTTTTTTTTAATATTTTTCGCGGCAATATACAAACTACAATTAATTATAAACCTACTACAGTAAGTAAATGTGTGGTTGTTCAATATTTTCTATTCGCATACAATGCCGTTACATGTGCGATTAGCTTGAACAGAAAGTCACGGGCGACATCTCTTCATCGATCATAATATTATATTATTGGAACGTGCGGATGACAGCAGATGATGGTTATTCAGTTATTTGCCAGAGCAAATGTGACAAACAAAATTATCATTTTCATCGCCTATATGCAAAGTACAATAAGTGATGTAGACGGGTGAGTTGTTATTACTTTTTAGTTTTTTTTATTGAACCGTGGATCTTCTGTAATATATTATAATAGGATAAATGTGTAAACCTATCAACTGTACGCCTCACAAAACTCCAGTTGTCACGAGTCATTAATTAATTAATTGACAGCTATGTATGGAAGTCGCAGACGTGTCGTATATTAAAGTTTGTCCTGTTCATCGTGGCGATGAAAATATCATGACAAATAAGATAGGTATGTCAGCAATCGTCGTGATACGCATATTTTAATCAAAATGGCGTCCGGCTTTCGCCTATTATCAGAGTTTAAAGATATCACTTTATCAGACATTAGTATTCAGTGGATACTGGATATCAATTTAATAATAAACACAAAATTTTGGGAAAAGTTTTTGCATTTTGGGTTTAAAATAGGTATCAAATATTTAAATTATTGGAATTTTAAAACAATTTTTTTTTAACCATTCATAGATAAATAAGTAATTAAATAACTAAAACTATTGAGCTTAATAAGTAATAACGTTAGCCAGTTTTTATTTATTTCGTAAATTTTTGTATTGTTTTATTTTTATTTTTATGCTTGTTGTTTAAAACATCTTTATTTAAATTATTTATTCTAATATATGTTCTAGTACGTACAATACACCTAATAACTTCCTCAGGTATATTATTGATTTTTTTCATAATATTTTCACTTAATTGTTTAATAATATTTGGTTCTTTATTCAAGTAGTTTCCGTGAAGCTTCCTAAAGTCTATTTCAACTATTTTCATGGCATGTAGAAGATCATCAGAAGGTATTTTAAGGTTTCCTTTTGAAATGAATTTAGTCCATCTATCAATAACTTTAGAATCACTTGATTCATTAGTTAGATATGGATATTTTACATAAAACCGATTTGCAATATATCCGCCTACATATTCAACACATTCTTCTTCCAAATCATCAAATGGCTCTATAGTTTCTAGCTGTTAACACATGCATAATAGTTTAAGGTCAATAAGTACCAAGTTATGTATAAGGTAATAAGTCATAATTGGTAATCTTATTTATTTACTTCAAACTTTTCTAAAAGATCTAAATTTGTTTTTGAAATAGATCCTGTCATCACCTCATTTTTAGATTCAATGTGGACAATATTATTAGTGGATTCTGTCACACTAGTTTCTAACACATCTAAACTTTTAAACATTTGACCAACCAAGCAGTCGTTGCTATCCAAAAGGCTAGTTTCGAGACCAACTTCACTATTGGTATGTTCAGTAAATATGATGTCAGAATGTTTTCCCAAGATGTACCATCGTAAGCTGAAATAAAATATTATAATCTAATTGCTAATAATTGGTATACGGATATAGTATATATTATAATTTTAAAACTTAGATCATCAATTTAATTAGATACCTGTATTTGAAATCTAAAGCAGTAATGTTACTACTTGCATACCCACACATTCCTTTTAGGAAACTAAACAGATTTTCCAACACATCTTGGTTTAGTTTCCTTCCTATTATATATTCTATGCCATAAATGTTTTTTAAATCATTTAATAAATTTTTCAATGACTTATTTGACATTAAAATACCTACAAAGCAAGATAAAAGCATAATACAATATTTTATTTAAAGTACACCTAATTTATTTTTAAAAGTATTCAATAGGTACTAGCCTTTTTGAAAAGGAAGTAATGATTTTTTTCCATTTACTCTCATGCTACTAATAAATTCACTCATTTTATCTATTAAAATGTCTTGATCTTCAATGTTTATTCCATAACTTGCAACTCCTCTGTCAAATTTATGCTGGGTATTGAAAATATCAAACCAGTCATTAAATAATTGTATAATTTCCGAAGCCTAAATTACATTATATATAAAAATGAATATTAATATTTATATTTATACACAGGTATTTTATTTTTATATAATCACCTCTTTCCAGTTATATTTATCTAGACAGTTTTTTTCACCGCAGTACGCAATGGCTTTTGAAACTGAATTAGAAAATACATTTGCTGCTAATCTAACGTTCATGCGGCCTGATCCTTCTACAAAAAGATGACGCTCAGATAGCTTATGAGCAAATTTATAATCTTTACCATAGTTAAGATTCAGAACTTCGTGGAGTATATTTTTTCCGATGAATTTACCATTTGGAAGTATGAATCCACTTAAATTATTATAAATATGAATTATTTTCTTAAAACAAATATTACTTTTACAGAATTCAGAAGTTCTTACCTATCAAGTAAATGGTTTCTAGCCAATTTCAATAAGTGCGGAACATCAGCAAAAACATGAATTCTGGAATTTAGTTTTGGATGTTCAAATGACGTATTGTTAATAGATATGTCTAAACTTTTCCATAAGCCTACATTTGTAGAACCACTGTCACTGACTATTGCAACTACATTGAAACCAACTTCACTTAACTCTTCTATTATTTTATTTAATATTTCTTTAGTCATCCGCTCATCGAAGTTGTAATATATTGGTTGCTTCCAGTTATTTATTAATCCTTTATTTTAAAGAAAAATTATTATCAGGTGCATTACTTTAGATAACTAGATTTGATTTTTATAGTCATTTTATTTTTTATTTACCTCGTGCAATAACTGTTTGAACAGATTTATGAGGGCCTATAACTTGTTCATTTTTTTTATCAAAGCATATTCTCTTTGATATATATGTCTCATCAAAACACAAAATAGTTAATTTGTCATTGGTTTCCATTGTATCTCCTTGAATAGAATAGTAATGTTAATTTAATTTAGTTTAATTCATTTAGATTAAATTAAAATACCTTTAGATTTCATTAATGACAACACTCCATGTAAAAGACCTGGTTCTACAGAAAATTTTGAAGCCCAACTTCTAAGCGTGGAAAGACCTTAGAATGCATAACTATTTTTAGTATATAGATAAATAATAAAATTTAAAAGTATTGGTCATTAACCTGGTAATGGGAAACCTTTTTTGTTTCTCAAATAGCGGTAAGCTTTTGGAGAGACACTGCGTAATGTTATCGCCGACGATATGTCTTCAGGCAACCAACGACAAATTTTTTTAGTAGGATGAAGAAGAAATTTAATTTGAGTAGAAGTAAACAAATTCGATAGTAACTTTCCAAAACGGCTTTCAAAGCGGTTATCTTCCAAGTTCATATGGTCTTTTAAAGTTTTAACAGTTGTCCTTAATTTATTATTTTTTGTTAATAGAATTTCATTTTTCTTTTTACATTGTTCTAAATCGTTTTGTAATCTATGTATTAAAAGTACAAATATATATTTATATATTATATTCAAATAAAAAAATAAAATAAACATATCTAATCAGATATAAAGCAGTTTATTATAATTTATAACTTACAAAAAATCTCAAAATATAGTAATAATCTAATATACAATAGTTAATATTATTAAATTAACTAATTTTCTAAATCATCACAAATATATGGAAGGTTATAAATTCTCCATTTTAAATAAAATTAACATAATATCTAATCAAATATAAAGTAGTTTATTATAATTTATAACTTACAAAAAATCTCAAAATATAGTAATAATCTAATATACAATAGTTAATATTATTAAATAACCTAATTTTCTAAATCATCACAAATATATGGAAGGTTATAAATTCTCCATCTTAAATAAAATAAACATAATATCTAATCAAATATAAAGTAGTTTATTATAATTTATAACTTACAAAAAATCTCAAAATATAGTAATAATCTAATATACAATAGTTAATATTATTAAATAACCTAATTTTCTAAATCATCACAAATATATGGAAGGTTATAAATTCACCATTTTAAATAATTGAATAAAATAAACATCTAATCACAAATAAAACAATTCTCATAAAGTTATAAAATCACAACATAAAATGTATCTAATATCATGTTGTTGTTAATTAACATTTTTGTTCAGACGTTGAAGATCTCTCAGTATCAAAAACAAGTTAATGATTCAAAAGGTATATTTTTAATAATATGTCCATACATAATATTATAATCCTTTATGAGCCATTAACGAGTATTTTCAACAGAGAATTCTATATTCTTGGATTAAATTTTTTCTGTCTTTGGTTATGAATACATACCTATGCATAAAAATCAAATTTTTAAAGCTACCTATACTAAAATTAAGAAAATAACTAAGTACTTACTAAACACTACCACAATGCTTACATAATAAATTCATTATAATTGTTACCTCTCAATCAGAACATTTGATGAAATATCAAGAATGTTATCCCCTAGAGGCTCAACTCCTAATTCATTTTGTACATTTTTATTATCACCGGTAAATAATTTAACACAACATTTTTTACTCTCAATTGGGCTGACGTTAAAAACACCGCTAGGTGACCTTATATTATATTCTCCAACTTTGTCAATATATGTACTAAAAAATAAAAATATTTATGTAAGTAATTAATAATCAATTACAAAAGTAATTATGGGTATTAGGATTTTTACTGTTGAACATTTTTATTGGTGGAAGACTCTTCAAAATGTGTAATGCTAAATACTCCACTTGGTGTTGTAACTAATGGAGATCTTAAATACGGGATATCATCATAATCTATACCTTCGACACTATATACAAATTTAGGGATTTGATTTAGTACATTATTTGTAAAAAAAAATCATAATTATAAAAGTAATTGAATAACCTTAAAGGTATTGCATCGGGTTTAAGCCTTCTGTTATTTTTGGGTGAATACCCAGCCACTTTTTGAGCATAAGATTTTTCTGCCATATGATGTGCAGAAAAGTGTAGAGAACATACTACATCTAAAAATTTTCAGTTTGTAAATATTGATGATATTATATTATTTAATAATACAAACAACCAAAATATTTTCACATAACCTTGAATAGTTGTTACCTACCTTTTTCAAAATTTACATAATTTACTGTACTTCCCTTCTGGATCTGTTGGAGCCATTTCTTACGCAGCTCAGGATGTTTGGGAAATTTATGAACATGAACACCAGGTATTTGTTCTTTGTCTTGCCTTTTACTGCCACTAAAACAACCTTCATACACACACACTGGCATTTTGTGGATAATTAAATAATTTATTTAAACAATAAGAATGAATTTAATTATGAAAACAACAAATAAAAATATACGATATTATATTGCTTGATTGCTAATTGCTAATTATTGATGTTAACATTAACTAATAAGACAATATAAGTAGAAAGTATTAAGTAATAAGTAATATACCTAAGTAATACTATAATGCAGTAGCCTAATAATCATGTTCTATAGTAGTGATAGTACTAGGTAACTTAAAATTAATGTAAATAATGATAATAATTTCTAGTGATAATAGGCGAAAGCCGGCGGCCATATTTGCGCGAACTCTGCAGTAAATTCGGATATTGCTGACATACCTATCTTATTTGTCATGGAAAATATTATGTTTTGCAAATATAGGTGTAACATAAGTGCTTCGGGCATAACCTACAAACGGTTTTTTGGTTTATTTTCAATAAATATAATTTAAACGCAATCAATTTTTTATATTGGAAGCTGATTTTATTATATAACACAAGTGGTTTTTATTCTGTATTGTACATATTATTATAATATTGTTGAGCTATCAAAGTTCTATTAGTAGTTATTTGATAATGGTAAAAAAGAAGCCCAAGCCATCGTCCAATTATCGAGGCTTATTCTCAAAAAAACCAGGGGAAGTTGTACTCTCTTTTAGAGAACCCATCTATAGATTTCGTGGGTACTCCGTAATGAATAGTAAACTAGGTAACTGTATAGTAACCGATGTATTAAATTTTAATTCAATCATATAAAATATTCCGTAAGAAAAAATATTCAGAGCAAAAGCGGTGTCTGCAGGATCAGCCCCCAACTCCAAGGATATTTTATTTCTTATTTATATTACTAGCTGTTAGTCTCTAATCTATTTTTCTTAAAGTCTTATAGTAGTTACAAAAAATAAAAAAAACAATTAAAAAAATTAATTCAAATAATTTATGTACAATATAATATACCTATTGTACTTGTATAAGTAGCTGAAAACTGATAAGTGCTAATAATCTTTGCTGTTCCAGCTTGAAATAAAAAAATAAAATATGTGAGTTGTCCCTTCTTGTTAGCTGTAACATTTACTTATATTATCATATAATTCTATCAAGTTGATAGTTGTATTAAATTAAATTTTAACTGCTGAATTCGTAGAAATAATTAAGTATAAGTATAATATACATAACATTACATTATATTATATTATTATATTAATAAAAATATAATTATCTTATTTTATACATAAAGATAAAATGTTTTATAGTAGGTACTTTATAAAGTGATAATTAAAAAAAAAAAAATGAACACAACAGTTTAACTGGAGTGGTTTGGCGCGTTGGCTGCTGCTGTGAGTAAGTAACGCCCGAAGCTACTAGCTCCCGAATGGGCAGCGTTGCCAATGTTTGTTATCTAGTCAGCGGGGAAAATATGACAAAATTACCGTACTTTGAACAATATTACCGTACTTATTGATTTTTTAGGTTATCAGCATGGTTATCAGTTATAATTTCTTATCCGAATTCTTATCAAATTCTTATCAAATTCTTATCAAATATTTATAAAACCATTAAAACCTATTAAAAATTAATAACAAATAACAATTAACAATCTTCAGGTAAAAACTTATAATGGGTTCAGGGTTATGGACAGTGCCGGCGCTAGGAGAGGACAAATGGGACATTTGTCCAGGGCCCCGCGCTTGTTAAAGGGCCCCGTGATTTTTAATTATCATCTTAATACGAATACCGTGGTTTACCGTCGGATATTGCATTATTCTGCCTGCAGCGGTCGCGTACTTAGATATTAAACAATTTATTATTTTATTCAAACATTTTGATGAATTAATTTATTTTTAATTGATGATTTTATGTAGTTGTTAAAATAAATGTAAATTAATAAAATAACCAGCCCTTATGAATTACAGACAACATGATAAAAAATTCAAAAACAAAAATTACATGATATTTAAAATCAAAAATTATAGTTAATTATTATGATAGTTTCACCCAAGGTTTGGGGTTATTAGATAAACTCTGTTTTCTTTTATGGGGAATTCTATGGAATTCTATGGGAATTCTAACTAGGGAGAAACTGAGCACCATCTTAGTCCAGCTCACATAATATCACGATCAAAAGTCTGGGTCAGGTTCGAAGTTCAATATTATATAATATATAGAATTGATACAAAAATAAAATCAAATACAAAATATTTATAACAAATATGATGAAAAGCTAATTTTTTTTTTTTGAATTTACCGTACTATTTGACCCATTTTTGGTTGACCGTACTCCGACCGTACGGAGTATGAAATTACCGTAATCCCCCGACAAATACCGTACTATCGGCAACACTGCGAATGGGTGACCAGTGACCACCCGGGTTCTTAGTGGTTACAACCTTGCCACGCATACACGTGTTGCTTACCTTCTGTTTCAACGCCTTATCAATCTTACCAACCACAGTTCATAACCCCCACAATAGCTAATGGCCATAGTCGCCGGGCTTAAGATCAATTAAAAAATTTTAATTTAATTGGAATTTTTTATAGCATAAACATATAAAAATATATATACATAACAACATTAATTATATTATAAAAAATTCTTCTATAATATATGGGGTGACCTATTATGATTTGATACATAATAATAATAATATTACTAAATTTATTGAACACTGCTCAAAGTGTTTCAGTGTCATGCTATTGTATTTACCACCTGTTAAGGGGACGTTCTCAGTGCAATGTTTTGGTTTTATTATTACTGATTTTTTTTCAAAATTGATATAAAACTAGCGAATCAACATTGACATATTATGGAGTATACTTTGCATTCGTTAAATGGTGGTCATAGAATTAATTTTTGTCGAGAAGGTCATTAGGACGGATGAGCATCGATAGTGTTATAAGAAAAGGAGACGAACAGTGTTTTCGGAACGATTAAAATTATTTTACGACCGAACTCGAACCGATATAATAAATAATAATAATAATTTTATTGTTTTATTTATGGTTATTTTCGAATTAAATCTAAGAAACCAAAAAAATTACCATAATGTATTTATCTGGTATTCCATTAGGGCGGGATATCTCGTTTAAAAGATGTCCATGATCATTTTGGAGGGACTCAATCGGTTTTCTATCGCCTTTGACAGTTTGGTGACATCCGAGAGGGTCTATGCGGTCATCGTTTGAACATTTCGCAAACTTTTTATTTTAACCAAGATTTGTCTGTTCTTGTTGGTCACTTCAACTACAGACGTAAAAATTAATAGTAATAGCTCTTCCTCATAGACATAGGTATATCCTGTTATCTTATCGGCACTCGTCCGGAGTTTTCACTCAGAAGTCACAGGTGTACGTCTTATTTTTGTGCCCGAAAATAATCGAATTTTTATTTTAATTTCTATTTCTATTTTTAGTTTTTATTTCTCGGTGTGTTCGATATACCTAATTCAAGCCCCACAAAAATACGCAATTCAGCGTTTTTACTTTTTAGTATACGATTAAGATTTAAGTGTTCCAATCAAAAATATTTAAGATAATGAAAAATTCTTTTTGGTTCGCACGGAACGATAAGTACCTACTTAACTTTGACTTAAAACTACCTCCAATAAGTTCTTAACAGTATATAATAAAAATTCCTTTAATGTAGTGTATACTTTCAATCAACTATTCCATGGGCATTTCAAAACATGCTCAAATTACTACCAACTAAATAACTCTTGGTTGACTCAAACGTATAAGATACTCATTATGTTTTCATAATATGGTAAAAATAAAACAAATACGTTGTTATTAAATATTAATCAATAATCGATATTTTTACTGTATAACTGTTTTATATTATCTTTAATATTATTATTGTCTACTATCAAAAACCTACCTACGACAAATTCAATAAAATACCTATTTATTATAAAAAAAACATTTCAGTTATCAATAAAGTTTTATAATACAATGTATAAATTTAAGTTGTTTTGATAAAATAACATTTTTATTCGAAAAACGATTCAAACTTTTTAGCAATAAAAACAAAAACAAAAGAAAAATTTAAAAATAAAGTTTGGAAACTAAATTTAGGTGTACCGGAAAAAGTAATAGAATTCTGAAAATGTGTCGTAGGATGATAGCATTATACATTATTTTGTATTCAGAAGGCCACCATCTCGTCTCTTCGGAGCCATGGACACAAAAGAGAGCTTAAAATATGTCTATGGATTTTGTAGTCTGATAAATCACCTAAGTAGTTGCTTGTTGGCTGTTGCTCTAAATAAAACACGTCGAATAGTGGTAAATGTGACTTTTATTTTATAATTAAATTTTTTAGTAAATTTATTACGATATATTATTTAGATAATAAACAAGTCAGTCCGTTCAAACTTCAAAATGGGAATTAAAAGTTAAAACCAGAGGCGTGTCCAGCGGGTAGGCCTGGTGGGCCAGGGCCTACCCTGATTTTTAACCTTTAAGTGTACCCAAAATATGAATTTAAAATTATATTTATATAAGCACACGATGTATCGATCATATTTTTTGCTGTAAACAATATAAATATTTGTCTATAAATAAAATTAACAATAGTAAAAGATATCGGCAATTCTCTCAAGCGCTTCCTGGAAATACCCCACATTTCTATATAGATATTACACGACCCGACGACCGTCGGTATTTGGTCGGCGATCACCGCCTGTGTTAAATTTATTGTCACGGTTGGCGACCGAGCTCGCGAGTGGCAGTCTTCGTTTTGTATTTTTTATATTATAAATAGTTCTTAATAAATAGTACGTCATACTCATGACTTAAAAAGTATAATGCAATTTTTCTTAAACTGAAAAATGTGTTGACTATACACAAATTATTTTTGTAACCGGGCCTGTCCTGAAATTTGGTCCTAGACACGCCTCTGGTTAAAACCGATCTTTCACTTATAGATGCACATACTTGCAATACAAACGATTATAATAATATAATATTATGTGTGCGATTTATTAAAATTCAGCTAAAACTCTAGAAATCAGTCCAAAAATGTATGTCTATTAATCTGAAAAATATTTTAAATCTTTTAATAGAATAATGTTTTGAATAATTGAATAGGAAAACATTAATTTAGGTACTATTCAAGTATGACTGATACAATCTATAGTGTATAGTGTATACGATAAAATATTACTATTTATATTATAATATTATTATAGGTAAAGCAGGATATTTCACGAGGATATACAAATTTAAAGTGGTTTAGGTGGAGTAATGGAATTTGATTATACTGTCCCAACACATCGAAATTTAAACTATTTGGTACATTTTCGAGGAACACTCGTCCTATTATATACATACCTATTACAGTGGAATCTCGAAGTCTTGGGGGACAAAAAAAAATTCAAAATATCATAACTTCGAGTTACCGAAGTAATTTAAAATATTATGTGAATGAATGATCGGTACTGAAAAAAATATTCGATTTACAGAGTTCGAGATACCGAGGTATCCACTGTTTATATTTATAAATAGACAATAAATGTAAAAAAAAACAATAACCCGCTTAATGACGTTTTTCTCATCAAATTAAAAATGTGAAATAAAATAACCTCGATATTTTTCCTCTGTAAGGAAAATCTATGAATCGATTTAATCATAAATATGTTTTGTTAACAATAATAACCATGACAACTAAAACGTCCGTTTAGGAAAATAGATTAGAAAAGTAAAATATCTGTAAATAAATAAATACCTACCAGCCCAAAAACATAGTGTTTATGTTCAATAAATAAAAACTCATCCTTATAGTATTATATAGTCGTAAGCAAGAAGTTCAAGAATTTGTAGTTCACGCCTCCAGTACTTACCTAATATTATCCGAACTAGCTAGCATCTAAGTAGTAATTACCTATACTTACTGGCTACGATATTTAGTTAGGTACCTACCTTATATTCTTTCCTCACCTACCTACTGTTTAAAAATATTTTCCATTCTGGTGACGCGTATTATAATGACCGTCATCGTTTTGTCAAATACCAGCAGTTTAATATTATAATACGTATATTATTAACTGCAAAATAAATAAAATATAATTGCATTTTTTGGGACATTATTATTTATTATGTTCACGGTTAAAAATTAAAACGTAAGACTGATAAGCGTAATATCACGGGATAGGCAACCTGCTACTACACAAATCTGAATACAATACGCACTTCCCCGCGTTGCTGCGGGTGACTGAATTGTAAGTTATAATTATTTTCATTTACAACAATATATATGGGTGACCTACCTGCTATTATAAATTATCGGGTGGCATTTTATTTTCTAGAAATTCGTTTTTCACGGGACAAAATATTATTATAATATTCGAGCGCCTTTGCACTTCAACGATCCTTTCTGTTGATTAGAGCTACACGGTATACGTATTAACCGCGCCATAATAATATACAATTATGTTCGAATAAAAAAATACAAAAAAAAAAATAATAGTGAAATCCCCTCGGGTTTGTTAACCCTTGCGGGGACCGGGTTTCGTGTATGGCCTGCAGGTGAAGAACCGATGGCCACCCGACACGTGTCCAAGGGGCTTTTGATATTCAGACGTGTATAGTGTTTGCCCGACTATCGCAAACTGGTTCGATTCCGACGACGGAAGGGCATATGGCACGCGCCCGCGATCCAACAGGTAGAAATGGAGTTGAACTGCTGTCGGACGTGAGTTTACGTCGACCGTTGGTCGTACGAAATAATTGGTCGCCGGATTGTGTATTGTGCGATCGATATTATCTCACGTCGTAAATCCAAAATTAATAATTTATTAATGTTTTTTTATACACACGTTTCAGTTGACCAGTGACGTAATTACAGGGGGGGGGATTCGGGTGTCGTTACCTCCATGACTTTTTTCTTTTATTTTAAAACTATATTAAATAGTATGTAACTATTTATTTTAATGTATGAATGCATTTATACATGTATACCTACTTACATTATACACATTACAGATCACAATGGTTGGACTCAGAGGTTTTTATGATGAAAACCAAAAAAAAAATGTGTGGGTGATGGGTGGGGGGGGTAAATGTTTCAATCCCTCCACCCACACAAACGTGACCAAATAACGCCACTGCAGTTGACTGTGATAGGTCTCTGTGCAGTCTAGTGTTATATTGTATAGTTATAAACAATTATGTCTTTAGATCTTATAAAAATATAAAGGAGCAGAGACACGCTTGTGTATGAGAGGTTTTATTATTGTTTTGAATGAAACGAAAAAATGAGAAATGTGTCAACAATTTGAAAAAAAAACTTAATGCTCGAATACATTTAAATCAATTATCAAATTTGACATGTTCATTTACCCGATACTTTCAAAATCGAAACAAAAAAATCAATGGGAAATTTAAAGGTGCTTGCCGAGATAACTCAACTCCGTACTCAATATGTTGTAGCAACTTTAAAGTTTCAGAACTAATATACAATTTATGTAAATATGTAATAATTTATATAAATTTGCAATATTGTATTACCCTTCAAAATTTTGTATGTTTTACATATATCATATATGTAATTACTACATATATATTATATATATATACGACCAATTGATTGTATCAATAATATAATAAAATGGATATATTGTGAGGTCTTACTAGAGGTCGTATGGTACAGTCATATAGACTATAGGCATAGAAAGACAGGAAGTTATCCCAAAATATACACGGAAAAAAAAAATTACTAAAATATTATAGTTAAACAAATTATAGTAAATATAACTATTTAATAGGTAAAATAACTAAAATGGTTTACTTATTATGACTATATAAATATAGTTATTTGTTATGGTAATGTTTACTATATTTTATAGTTAACGCAGTTTTCAATTTTTTTATTAACTAAAAAATATAGTTAAAATAGTTTACTATTATCAATAGTTAAAGTAATTATAAAATTAAGTGTAAAGTCCTAATATTAATAGTTACATGGACTATAAAATTAAGTACAATGTATACCTTGTAAAATAACATTGTTTGGGAAAAATACGATTTTCCCTATTAGTAATCAATTCATTTAAAGCCGTTTATAGTAACTGTTAAGTCGTTAAATTGTCTGTACTCGATATTCACGTTATGAAGAAAATGGTACAGTTTTGAAGAAATAAGCTAACGTTACCTATAATCCTCATTATTATGGATATCATATATCCGATGATCTTCTTTGAAAACGTTAACGATTTAGCTAATGTTCGTTTAGATTTTACACGAGTGAATTCTACGAAAACATTTAATATCTAGGTATTCGATAGGTACTAGAATATACGCTTACGCGGTAGGTACATATAAAGATAAAAAGTACTACGAATTCAAACTTTAAAACGTACAGCAGTTCGGCAAGCACGCAATCCGCGATATTAGGTAAGTATAGTACCTATCAGTAACTATTAGTACTTAGGAATTAGAATCGTAACTATTGCAAACGGACCAGTGGCTACGACTTCGCGAGAGTCCACCTGTGGCCATCAATCATCACTATTCAGTAAACAGTGACACAGTTGAAGAGAATCAGTTACCAGTCATATCATAACTTCAAAAGTCGACCACAGTTCACAGTTCTATATAAAATAGTGCGATATTTTGTTTGAAGGTAAGACGGTAAGTTGATTTATGCAGAAATAATATTGAGTAGGTATACACCTACTCAGTTAAATTTTAAAAAGTTTTTGTTTCATTATTCAAATTCAAATTAATTTTAACTCAAGTGATGATACATTAAGCAATGGGTAAGATTTATTGCTACCAATCATACAATTTTAGAGAATAAATTATTTTTCAATAACTACATACCTACACTGATATTTTACTGTCAATCCAAATTCTATTTAATTTTTATGCCATCAACTATTTACCTATTTATCAATATCAAATATGTACTACACTCTCCATGATTCTAAATATTCTGTGGCCTCAGGCCTAGTCACTTTCAGTATAGTTAATACTAAATGTCTATAAATACACCTCTATCAAAAAAAAATTTTATGTGACTACAGTTTAAATTATTTAAGTGTATGATATAATTTACATATATTTAATTTTTAATTGTAAGTATGAGACAAAAATATTTTAAATATAGATCATTCATTTTGTTAAGTACCTACTGTCAATAATACCTATTACATACATATTTCAACATTTAATTATTTTTTATGTAAATGAGAACTTAATTTTTGTTTTAATTTCTAATATAACATCAACCTATAAATATTTTCAACATCATTATTTTGACGAATCAATTTTTATTTTTATTAAAATTTAAAAATGTATTTGTTAATGATCAGTTTTAGAATAAAATATAAGTATCATCACTGATACGTTAAAAAATGTTTGCCATAACATAAAGTTTATAACATGTTATTTTACTTAAACATAACATTCATAATAAAATTATAAACTTTTTTTATTTATTGAAGTTTTTTAAAAATAATAAATAGTACCTATGTATTAACACTGAAATGTCCATATTTTAGGTATAGAAGAATTATTCCCTTCAGAAACCCAACATGTTATTTCATTCCTTATTACAAAGAAGGGAATAAAGTTAGCCCTAATAGAGGGAAACTTTATGATAAGTATTGCAATATCAAAAAAGAAATTAGAAAAATCAGTACACAAAATATTAATAAACCTTGTAATAAACAAAATGAAGTTTTCTCAAATGAAGAAGGTTATAATAATATAATTACTTTTCATTATATTAATTATAAATTAAAATGTACCCTTAATCAAATATTTTTTTTGTTTAATTTTAAGTATAACAACTAATTAGGTACCTACCCTATTTTTAAACTAATTTATTAACTATATATTTATATCAAACAGATATTTTAGATTCACTTGTTTGGTTAAAGCACAATATTGAACCGGAATTTAAATTATATCAGCTATGGTCAGAAACTGCTCATTATCGTTTAAGTAAACATACTATTGATAATAATGATAATCTTAAATATCCTGCATTAAAAAAACCAACAGGTCACATACTTGTAAGTTAAGTTACACAAATTATAAACAGTTTTCCTTTTATTACCTACCTATATAACTTTGTATGTAGGTACTTTTTATAACATTTATTTATTTATAATAGGTACCTACAAGTATTCATTTACCTAATATTACAGTACCTATATTTAATTTTAACAAATTCACATATACCTAGTTCAAATGTTTAATATTGAAAGATATTTTTTTTAATTATTCTATTTTAAAAATAAGTACCTAGGTATTGTATAAATAAATGTACCAATTAAAGATAACTATTTAATCCTATTTTAGATTAATATGGATTTTGATCATTTATTCCCTAAAAAAGACCAATGCCTAATCCAAAAATTTGACATTTTTAAAGAAAAGTTGAAATTATATTTAAAAAACAAAGATATTAATTTGAATTTGAATGAACAAAACTTGGTTAAGAAAATTTTAACACCTGATATATTGGGCAAGTTTTTATTATAATATCCGTATAATACTAACAATTATTATAGAATAATATTAACTACCTACCTACTATAATTAATAATTATCATTATTTTAGGAGATGATGATTTAGCTGTAATTCAATTATTACCTTACCTATTCAAGCCAGTAAATATTAAAGTCCCCAAAAAATCAACAACTGATGGGAATGTTTCAAAGTACTTAATGAGGAAACCATCAAAACTGGAACAAGCTAGTGCTGTCATAGTCAACATTACCGTAAGTTTAAAATAATTTATTAATTTACTTTATATTTTGGTCTGGAAAAGTTTAAGGGTAGGTAGTTTGACCACAGAAAAGATTAAGTTGATATGGCTAAACATAATATAACATACTAACTATATACATTTAGATTTGGTCTATTTTATTTTTATTATTTTTATTTATCTTTAATATTATTTTATAATATCAACAAGGTCATACCTATGGCAATATGACATGCTGACACACAATACTAGTGTCACCAGATATTACAATAACACTACATATATTTCTATATAGTAATATGTGTACCGTAGAATGGGGTAACTTTGATTTCGTAGGGTAACTTTGATAATATGATATTTTTATTCACCATAGTACCACGACAATTTAATATTTTTTTCATAAAATGGGGTAACTTAGATAACACATTACAAAATGCTGGTATCAAAGTTGCCCAAAACGTGGTGTAACTTTGATAGCATTTTAAAAAGATTAATATCTCAGATGATAACATCAGAAATTAAAAAATTTAAATGTTAAACAATTGAGGATAATTAGCTATAACTAAGATTTAATTTTTGGAATTTTATAGTTAATACTACAGAAGTTATCCATAAAATAAAAAGTAAAATTGTAATAAAACGGTACAAATTTATCAAAGTTACCCCATTTTACTGTAGTGTATTGTGTAATGTATATAGGTACTATATAAGTACTAATATGCCTCATTATGTGTAGGTAGGTCATAGGTACCTACACTTATATATACCTAGTCATGTGTCCAACATATTTTGTAGTACTTATAATATATTATTTATATCAAATACTTAATTCGTACATTCTAAATTATTGTAGGTAGCATAGGATTTTGTAATTAAGGTATATATTTAAATTACCTAACTTTAATCTATAATTGTTTATTACACATAGAATGTGAATGATCTCAAGACTACTCATGAACGTAAGATCGACAGAGCATTCAACTGTGGTCTAACGGTTCAACCCTACGTTGCCATTGTGGGGAATCAAGAATCAAATTCAAATGATACAATTGGCTACTATACAGTAATAAATGATATTTACTATAAACTTGAAACCCCCATTAAAGCATTAGACACATGCTTCAAATCATTTCACGCATTAAATTTGCAATATCCCCAAGAAGCCGAACAAATTTGGTGGTTTATACAGGATTTTTTTTTTAAAATAACAGATGAATCAAAAAAAAAGTTTATAGGAGTACAGTGTTTGATAAAAGATTATTGGAATCAATATAGGAAATTACAACATTTATTGTAATTACTAATTATTGGTGTAATGTAGAAACTTTATACCTACCTAAATTTAAAAAATTTCTATTGTAATATAATAGTATCTATAAAATAGATAAGTATATATAAGTATTTAATGTTTAAAAATAATTTAACAAAAACTAACTACTATCTATTAACTATTAAGTATTTAAAGCATCTTTTAGATATTTATATTTATATTTAAATTTTTCTTTCGGTACCTACCGTACCTACCTGGTTTAAACAATATGTAATAGGCTATAGGCACCTGTAATTCAAAGTACCTACCTACTATATGCACTATGTAGATTGAAGATATTATAAGATATATTATTATTATACATATTTATTGCCTTCTTATATTTTTAATTTAATACTATAGTATATATATATACCTACCATTAATATTTATTTACAAATAGTTAAACTGTAAAAGTGTTGTTGGTACTTATAATACTTATTCTACCAATTTAGTAGCTAGTAAGCTTAAGTACCTACTTGTTTTTGTTAAATGATAACATTATTTGAATTAAATATACTTTATACCTAATATATACCTAGCTGGTAATTAAATTTGTACAAAAACTTCAAAAATATTTTGTATTGTAATTAAAATTTTTAAAATGGTTAATTGCTTTTTATGTAGTTACGAGGCACAATGCATAAGTCATTTGTTTATACATTTTAATTTATACCACAATTTAAAATCAATCGAAACATTTAATTGTCCATTACAGGATTGTCTTAGAATATTTAATAACCTTTATTTGGATTGATTAAATGTATTTTTATTATAAAAAATGAACCATTTATTATATATAATTTGTTTGATACTATTGACTATGATGAACACTTTGGTGCATTTTATGTAAAGTTTTCATCTAAATTAGGTCATATCAAAATTAATGAATTAGAAAATATTTTTCCTGTACACCATAAAAGTATTTCTAATGGAAATATATTTATAAAAATGTTATTATAATCATAATATTATACTATTATACTTGTAATTATATAGGTATCTATATAAATGTTGTATTATAATTTATATTAAGTTTTCTTGTTGATTATCTACTTATTACTGTAATTGTTTTCTTTTTTTCTATTATAATATTTAAAAGTACAACTTTTTCTATATTATTATTATTATTACACATCCTGTAGGTATTATACATTAACAATGAATATATTATTATTTTTATTATAAATGTTATACCTATACTAAATGTTTTTAAATGAAACTATGTTATTTTAAAATAGGTACTTATCCACACAATTATCATAATATATTATTAAATGTATTCAATTATCAATAAAAAAAATTAAATGTGTATTAAAGCTGTTTTTTGATATTATTTTTTTGTACCTCACTCTTGTTATTAATCCTCCGATTGGTTTGCAATTGATTTAAGTTGTGTACATAATAATTGTATTATTATATAAAGGTAAAAAAATAAACTCATTTGAATGGGAATTACCTACTGGCAACTATAAATAATAGTAAATAGATATTACTAAAAAAAAATATCAAATAGGAATGAGTACTACTATTTATAGTTGTAGTTATTTCAAATTTTAGTTCAGTGAACTGTTTTTTATAGTAAACACTTATTTATTTTTAGTAATTGGTACTAAGCTTATAGTGGAGATAACAATAAATATTTTTCAAGCGAACTAAATTAAAAAGTATTTAGCACTACAAAAATATAGTAAAAATTACTGCATATTCAGTTCGAATAACTATAATAACTTGACTATAATATTTTAGTAAATCTGACTAATCTTATAGCTATCCCTATAGCAACTATAAAATACAGTCAATCCTACTATTTTTATAGTACAAATAACTGTTTTGTTTTTTCCGTGTAGAAATAAAAAAAGTCACTCTGCTGTACAGTAGGTTACAAGTGGGTCACTGTAATGGATGGTGTTAAATTTGAATTCAATGATATAATATCATTGTATAAGAAAAAAGATTCTGAGCGAAAACAGTCAGTCAGCCTATGATATTACAAAGTATATTAATTGATGATATTATTGTGAATAAAATATATTTAGATATAATCTAATTAGAGACTTAAAAAGAGTCAAATTATTTTCAAAGTTTTATCGCGTATAGAAAATGCTAATATAAACATTCAGTGAAATTTTCAAGTATCTACAGTCATTAGTTTTTTAATTACAACAAAATAAAAAAATCGTTACATGAGAAATCGAGTGAATATCAAATGTTGTAAAAATATGAATTTCTCATAAAAATGTAATTTGACTTTCTTGTAGACATTTTTTTTTTGATAAAGATAGACAATTTATGAGGAATCTTGTATTACATTTTCAAATCTTAGAAAAAGATTTTTCTTAAAAAGAAAAATTTTTATGAATTTCTAACTCAAAATAATTTGGAAATGTTCGTCATTCTTAAGTATTTTGTCAATATTTGAACTTAAAATGCTTTTAAAAAAAATTGTGACTATGGATTTTAATATTTTTCATCTGTCTTTGAAACAATATATTAAGAGCCTTCTATTAAATTTTTAAGCTTTTGTACCCAACAAATAACATTTTATTGATATTTATAGAAAAAAAAACGGAAACTGAAAATGTTCGAAAAGAGCTCAAAATAAGTCAAAATATTTGGAAAATTTTATTGTGTATAGAAAATGCTAATATAAACATTCAGTCAAAATTTCATGTACCTACGGTCATTTGTTTAAAAGTTGCATCAAAAACCAAAATCAATTTTCTCGAAAACAGATTTTAAGTAAAAATTCCCGTTTTTTGATAATTTTTCTTTTGTTTTATTTTATTTTTGAAAAGTACTGGGAAATGTTTACTTTTTACCCCCCAAAGTACCATCTAAATTCACTTTCCTATCAGAAAAGATACTGTTGAAGAAAATCCAAGCACTTTTACTGTCCTAAAAGGTGATGACAGCCACAAAAAAAATTTAAAAATATTAAAAAATTAAAAAAAAAAACACACATCATTGTAAAATCAATACATTCATCGTTCCACCCAGAATCTAAAAAATCATAGAAAATAGAAAATAACTACTTATTCGATATTCATATCCTTGTTTTACTCTACTGATCTTACTCGCTAAACGCCGTGTCTAGATGATTAAAATTTGTGTATGCAAAAAGATGAATTTTCACCATTTTGTTTTTTCCCGTTATTATTTATTACGATACACTTTTAGGTACCAAATAACAAATTATTATGGAATTGGTTAGGCGGGAAGAATAAAAATAAAAACATTAGACCATAGTCCATATTATTATAAATTCTAATATATAAAATATAAATATATAGTACCTAGGTACCTATACAGATACTTTTATGGAATTCGAAACATTTTAAAGCTATCAAAAAAAAAACCCCCGTTAATGAACATATTATTATTAGGTAGGTAGTCAGTGATTGCAATGAAATAATTTAAATTAAAACAATTCTCCAATAAAGTTTTATTTAAGTGATTTTAGTTTAAATGAAATTAACAAAATCCAAATGCAATCAAGTATTAACAATGATTGTAGGTAGTAGGTACCTACAATATATTATGATTTTTACTGTATCCAAAAGAAATTAGTCACATAGGTACTTAAGAGTTGAATGAATATTGAACATGATTCATTATTTTGATGAGTTTTCTTTTTAATTAAATAATGTCTGTTTAAAAATGATTTGTAATTTAATTAAAATATAATTATTCCAGAGAAAAAAATAGGTACCTCAAATAATTGACAAAAGTAAGAAAACTAAAAATATTGATTACAATTTTAATTGGACGTGATAACTTATAGGTACCTTACTATACTAGTTTTTCAAATAGGTTTTGCTATTCTGTTTAAATTTAAGATATTTACTAGCATACAATTATTATTATTAATTAATATTAATTTTTTCATTAAACATGAGATTTTTAAAATTAATACTTATTAAGTATATTATATCGTGTGATATTGACATATAATACGTCGGCAAAATAAAATAATGCGGATATTGGATACAAGATTAGATTGAAAGTTACCCAAGAGTATCGCAAAAAAACTAAATAGTGACCTTATTATAATAACAGTATATAATATTATAGTTAAAAATAATATAAATTCTTAACAAAGAGAATATTTATTTTATGAATAAAAATAATTAATTTTAAGATTTATCACCACGAGTAGACTGTATATAATATTACCTATAGATATTCATATTGTGAATTTCTATAGTATACGTACAATGGACACAATTATTGTGAATGGTCAAATCGTTTGAAGTTGTAATAATGGTTTGTGTATAAAAATAAATGTTACTCTTTTGAGCGAAAGACAGCAATATACTGGGTAGTTTGGTATCTACTTTCAGTATTTTAACAGCTGTCGTCGAACATCGTTTTGGAAAATAGGACCGGAAAATAGCTAAGCAAATTGTTCTGAAAAAGGGCACTACACTATTCCTATAAAAACAAATCGTAGCTATTACGATTTACGGTAAACCCATTTTATTTTTGTCTGAGCTTAAAGTTTAATGAGAAAACATATTTTGAACATCTGATATTCGTGATCTATATAATGGTAAAACACTAAAACAAACATTTTTTGGATAATTTTTTTTTACTTTCACAACGTCCATATTATATTATATTATTTTATATCAATGTCAGTCAAAGCGCAATGATCTATGTTTTTTTTTTATATATATTATTTTATAAGAGCATTGTTGTTCGATTCAAAGAGGTCAACGAAAATAATTATTTTATGGTCATCTTTATGTTCCTCTTCAATAAACATTTTAACTTTGATAAACACAAAAGATTCATTGAGAAAAAAACTATTTAATTCGTCATAGTTGACATCTTACGATCTCGTTATGTCATAGATAATAATATGTTGTTGAATCTTATTCTAGCTGAACAGTATGGACCAGTGGTTCTCAACAAGTGTGTCACGTATAGCCGTGATCTGTGTCGAACCAAAAAATTGTTTATTTATATTGAACGTGATCAAAGTA